GGAACTGAGTCTCCCTAGGCCAGGGGTATAGGTAGAATGCCTCTTAAGTAAACCACCCCCCTCCTGAAATTGAAAAATGCTGGGAAGATTCAAAGCAAGTTAAGGCTGTTTAGTGAGAACATTGTCTTTTATTATGATTATGCTAGGCACCATAGTATGATGCTACCAGTGCTAGAAATCAAGTGATTTCTTCCTAAACCTGCTGCCCCCAAGGTTTGTTGTTCATGTGTCATTCTCCTTAGCACTCCCAATCTTACACCTGTTTTCAATTCCTAAACTGTGAACAAAACTGTCAAGAACTAGGATCAAATAGGGTGTCATGTTTCCAGCTCCTCCCTGCAGGGGCTGCACCTCTTAGAGACTCAAAAGATCCAACTTCAAAACCCTTAATGTACCTACCACTGCCTTAGATGATGTAGCTTCTGCTCTATCCCTTCTATAGAAAGGGATGCCACAGATCTGAGGCACTCTTGGGTTCAGATGTGTGTTGACTTCCTGTAGTAAGACCACTTGAGCCTCCATGGCTTGACAGAAAAATGGTCAGACATTTTAAACAAGTAATGGGCAATTGTTGAAGTTTTCCTGATAAAAGGGGCTATCTATAAGTGGTTGCAGCTCAGTATAATCAAGCAACATTTGGCAGACTTATCCAGAAAGTTAACGTAAACCCACCTTTAGCACAAATAAGCAGAATCACTTCCAACTCCACCTTTTTATGGGAACCTGGTAAAAGAAAACACCTACTGAGATCTGGCATTTCAACAGTCACATACAGTCAGACAAGGGGAAGGCAGCTGGACTTTATTCTTTGAGAGCAGAATTAAAGGCAGGTATAACACATTTTAAGTTAATCTGCACAGCCTTTATAAGAGGCAGAATTTGGCTAGACATAATAGTAACACAGAGTGTTAGACCACACAATATGAAGTCCGAGATTCCCACAGCAAAGTGAATTAAGGGTGCTGTTGATGAAGGTCTGAAAATAGCATACAATGATCTACCTAAGAGTTATGTGCAAACATTGCTGTATCTCCTTTCTAAACTGCATCTGCATCTCTGCCACCTGCTGATGAGTAAGAGCCTTGTCACAGGACTGGAAGGTTAGTCTGTAGCAGAGGCTGGTTTGTCCAGTTTGTGGATGCTGAAAGCTGTCAAGGAGCTGGATGGACACGACAGTTTCCTGTGACATACACCTGGCAATGGTGTGAAATGCAACTTCATCAAACTGTTCCCACTCAGAAACCCAGAAGCTGACATCATGCACATAGGAAGGTGGATGGAGGGAAAAGCTCTTGAAAGGTCCTAACTCTCCTCCAATAAACTGATTTAGGAAACGCTCATCTGAGGTCCACAGCATTCGCCAGTCAGAAATTCCACAAATTTGCATGGTTAGCAGGTCAAGATTTACTGATGCAAACACAATGCCCAGTTCACTGTTTATTGGCCCACAGGGAGCTGCTGATATGGCTCCTACGCAAGAGCCATTGGCTTTGGAGTCTGAAGTCTCAGTTTTCACACAGATGAAATATTGAGTTTTATCAAGCTGAAGGTCAGGCATGACTGAATCATTTAGCTCAATTGTTTCAGAGCTTTTTGCTTCCTCTACTGTGGAGTTTAATGTAAAACACAAAAGAGATGGGAGCAGAGAACTTATAGTATTTTTAATATTATCCATAAGCATCTGGATACAGCTGCCCTCTGTACCCTTATCAACTGCACACACAAAAAGAGTCTCATGAAAAACAGGCAGAGTGTGAGGAGAGATCAGACTCTTCCTAAAGACAGGCCCACTGAGAACATGCAGAGTCCCAGGGAGAAAGCTCAGCCTTGGTATCACATCCTGAACATAAACCAGAAGGGAAGATCTAAGATGATAATGTTCTGAGAGCTGGTCTCCTTCCTGAGCCTTCATTCTGTCATCTTGGTCTATGTCCCTGCAGAAATGAAGGCCAGGAAATAAGACTCCTCTTGCTGTTCCCTTACCTACAGGTTCAGAGCTTGGATTTTGCTCTGTGTTGGGAATGATCGAAAAGGCATTTGACTGAGAAACAGTGCTTAGGTGGCCGTGGTGCAGGAGAGAAAGGGAGCCGTCAACCCTTTGTAATAGGAAGGTTTGGCTGAGTTGAGCGATGAGCTTTTCATTTATAGTTCTTACAGGATGATCTGAATTGGTATCTAGGAAACCCCTGTTAAAAACAAAACAGCAGATTACAAGTCTAAGTACAGTGATTTTTATAAAAACATTTTCCTTTGTTTATAATTAAAGACTTCTCCAAAGTGAGCTTAATGTTAAGTTTGCTTTCAATAGCCACTTGGACAGGGAAAATCTTTAGTCAGGGTGGCATAGTTATTACCAAGACATCTGCAGGACATAAGGGTGTGGGTTAAGAGTTGCAATTGAGGATTCGTTGCACTTCAGCTGGTGGAAGAGGGAGGACTTTCCTAGCAAGTATCAGCTGACTTCCACTATTAGAATTACAAGCTTATTTAAGGACGCCAATCAAAAGTATGTTAGCTCTGGATATTTTCCAGAATATGAACCAGTTTAGAGACAGATTAAAAACTTGGTTATAGTTTTTAATCCTAACTAGCCTTACTAATATTAGCACAGACTAAACCACCTACAGGACTGCTCCCAAATCACTGCACAATGTGTAATTAAAACTTTACTCTTCTACTCCTGTAGATAGGAACATCCTCTCTTCTGAAGCCTTATGCTAAGTGGACCATAAATATGAAACCAACATGTAAAAAAACAAAAATGACCAAATTTGCTCTTTCCCTTTAAGAGGAAATGGAATTTGGAACATTTAATGATTACCTGTCTCAGAGATGCAAACTGATCATTCATGCAAGATTGTGGATTAAGTTAGCAGTGGACTCAACCATTGTCTGGTTTTGTTCAGCATGGCCCAAATGCAGCCTGGTGAATAAATCACAATCAAACCAGATATTGGACTTGAACACTTACCTGTTAATTTTATCCACAAATATTTCTGGAACCTGGAAGGAAACCCTCTTGCCCTCCAGTTCAGTTTGGCACATCACAGGCCTGGGATGTGGAAATGGCAAGCCCCGAGTGAAGATGTGGTTTAATGCACCTTCTACAGAGAAGGATTTATCCTGACTCCTGGCAACACACACACACAAATGCACCATCTGGTAAAGTAACTGATATTTGACCAATATTAAAACACAAAAGCAAGTGACATTGAATGACTAGTAAACTGATAAGATTGAGTCAGCATAATGTTGTCTACATTGCAGAAGTTTAGCATGCAATCTTTATCTAAGCAAATAGACCAATCATAGGATGTGGACTCTCCCCATCTCCTTAATATTACTGGTTCCATTTGGAAACAGAAATGCTAATCCTGAGATTTAAGATACCATTTTTTCTGGCAGATACTCTCTCAAAAGGCAGGAATTTCACTGTTTCTTATCTATCCTACTAAGAGATAGAAGAGAAGTATATTGTATTTTTATAGAATAAAAAATATTAGAGGGGGGTTTCCTCCACAAGACAATGCTCTGGACTATGGTATTGGGCACTATGGAAATACCCAAGGAGCAGCATGAATATCAATGACTTTTTGCAGTATCTATAAGTTACCTGTAGCCAGTGCACTTATATCCATGAACATCCTCTAAATTGAAGGGATGAACATCACTCAAGATAAATCCTGCTCCCGCTGCCATAGCCACGACTTGCCAGCTGTTGTGCCACTCTCTCATTGGCTGATCAGCAGGCGTCCCTCCCTGCCCTTTGCAAAGAGCCACATGGACCTCTCCCTTCTCTGCGAGCACATCTGTGCAGCTAGAACAAAAACCAGCTGGTAATACTCTTGCAGGACACTTAGAAACAGAACAGTGACAGTAAAGTACATGGGGGAAAAGGGCCCTTTCTAAACAATGGTTTTTAAACAGTCCCAGAAAATTGCTTTGAATTTAAGGCACTAGTTTCAGGAACCAGCACACAGCTTCTAGAAAGTGGCTCAGCAGACCACCTGGTAAGAGATAGGTCTGTACTACTTAATTTCACTTTACTCACCTACAGAAAAATTTTGTAAGAAGCTCTCTATTCTTTGTCACCCCAGCTTTCCTCCCACAGTGAGGGAAATTGAAATAAATGCAATCAAAATTTCTCTTTGCTGGCAAAAAATAGTCCTTCAGTTTGGTACAGTCCACACAAAAACAAACTTCAACCCCTGCAAAAGTAAAGAAAAGCACGAGAGCAGGGGATTTAACATGATAGAATCTTCATTGAAAAGCCCAGAATATATACATAAGTAACCAGGTAGAAAGGGAGAGAGTAGGGTTGGGTTATTTTAATGGACCTTTCAATCTGTCAAACAGCTTCTACTGTTGGTCATAAAGGTGACAAGTGAAAAGGAAAAGCAAAATCATAGACATTAAGAAAAGTCCTACGTAGTCCTATCTAGTTAATCCCATAGGGGCCAATGCAGGATTGTTCCCCCATCATATTTTCTAGTACTTTGCACAATCCAGTTTTAAATATCACGTGGTATTTCCTTTCTTCTTTCCTTACCTCCACTGGAGGTAATGTTAGGAAGTTAAGCCCCCTTTTACTTCTGCTGCTGCTGGTTTTTGTTGTTTTCTTTAGTGTGATTCTGATTAGATTTGAAGGTATGAGTATTTGGAGGGTTCTTCACTCCTCTGAGGGAATTTCTCTAGAATCCCCCTCATTTCTTCTGGGGAAATGTTCTCTGGTCTGAAATTGATATCTGAAGTGCCTTAATTGCGCCTACAAAACCATCTCCTGTTTTAGTAACTTTGTTCTTTCCCCAGAGGCCCTTTATCATTGTTATGACCAATAATATTGTTCAATACAGGGATCTTGTTTCAATAGCTGTTAAAATGCATTTCCTGTGGAACAATTCCACAGCCTGATAAATCTCACTGTCTGGAAGAATTTCACTGTATTTTTCCCTTTTCATAATTTTATCCACTCCCTCAGTTACTCACCCAGACAGCTGTGGGGGATACTTAGCATTCAGCACAAAATGGCAAAGTGATTTCCTTTGGGGATTTCTTTACCTTTCCCTCTCAGATGCTGTATGTTAGTTTTAGCAAGTGCCTGTCTGGAAACTCTCTCTTCGCTCTCATAGCAAGTGGCAGTGATACGAGTCTCACGATCGCTGGCATTGCACAAGGAGACAGAGAAGGAGAAGTTTCCTTCCCCGACTAGAAGGAGTCGGCGGGTGGGTCTCATGGTATCAAAATCCTAAGAAGTAGGAAGATGGGTCAGGGCCCCCTTGTGCTGTCACAGTTTCAGCCTCTAACAAGAGGCCTGGTAGCCTCATGCATTACAAGGGGCTGCCAAAGTGGGGGGGGTGGGGTGAGGCCGAGCTTTGGGACCCACATGAACGGTTCACTTGCCTCCCCCTCTGGGGGAAAAGGGCCTCACCATTTCATCCCCACCGTCCCCCGTAGAAAACAGACCTTCGACCTCTCCCGATCAAAAAAGGCCCCATCTGCACCATTGCCCACCCCACCGCAGCACTGGGACGGGAGACGCCCCCTTGGCCCACCCCACCGCAGCACCGGGACGGGCGGGGCCCCCCGCCCCCCCCCCCCCCCCCCCCCCCCCCCGCCGGCGCCCCCCCCCCCACTCCCCCCGTCCCCCCCCCCCCCCCACGCGGGGAGGGGAGACGCCCCCGGCCCACCCCACCGCAGCACCCGCCCACGCTGGGAGGGGAGACGCCCCCTTCGGCCTGCCCAGAGAGGGGAGACATCCCCCCGGCCGACCAGAGCCCTGGGCTCCCAGGGACGGGGTGGGGCGGGTACCCTAAATTGAGGACTCCCAAGGAGCCCGAACCTCTCCCAGGGACCCGTCCCGGGGCCTCTCAAGGGGCCCTCATCCTACTACCCCCCCCCGCCCCCCTCACCAGTGCAGAGGCCGTCGCTCCCCTGGTCTGACAGTCTCTTCGCGGTGTGATTTGCCTCACTTCCGGCGCGCAGCTAGTGACGTCAGACGCGTTTCCCGGCTTCCATGGGAACAGGCTCGGCTCCGCCTCTCCAAGCGGCGCTCGGTTGTCGCGTCGGGACCAGCGGGCGAGTCGGCGCAGCAAAGCGGAGCCTCCTCCTCCCGGGCGGCGCGTAACGTCCCGCCAGTGACTTCATCGCCGAGGGGCTAGGGGGCGTGGTCTGTGACTTACGGGCGGGTCAGGGTGAGCCCAGAGGAGGGGCCTGTAGTACAAGTGGGCGGGGCTGGACCTAGGGGGCGTGGCCTGGCTGCGCGTGGGCGGGGTTAACTAAGTGGGCGGGGCCTGTGGCCCAAGGTCATGGGGTTGGGCATAAGAGGTGGGTCCTGGGTGCAAAGTGGGAAGACTGAGCTCAGTGGCAGAGGCCCAGGTTGCAAATGGGAGAGGCCCCTATAATGCGAGGGGGAACTGGGCAGAGATGTGGGAGGGGCTTGTGGCACAAGTGCGAGGATCTTCCTTGGGTGCAATGGGCAAGTGGAGCCTTGTATATGGCAGTGACCAAGTAGCGAATGCTGGCAGCCTTGAAGCCCTGTGCTAAAGTCAATATGCCTGGCGCCTGCAGAGCTTCTGACCTTGCAGGGTAGGAGCTCTGTGCCAGGAGAGCCGTCGTTCCTGCAGGGGCAGGGCTCACCTTGCAATTCATAGGGACTCAGGTGCTTGTGGCTACTTAGTGTTTTCTTTTCTCTACTGCCCCATTTGTTTTGTTTTATTCTTTGTTCATTGTTTTCTTTACAAAGCAAAGAGAGAAATTCAGCACAAAACTCTCCCTTAAAGTAATATTGTTAATGTTACATCTCTAAACGAACCAAATTGTGCTATAGTTCCCTTCCCATTTTAAGGCTAATTTGGCTATGTTGCACATTGGAAATATTTCCTGGCCCCGTTTCCCAGGTTCATTGTGTAGCTCTGTGACTGTTCATGCTTGTGGCAGCGTTTGTACCCCATTGACCCCCCAAGTCAGGAGGGGTAGGAGGTAACCCTGCCTATCTATGCTTTGGTCTGTTTTCCACACCCTCTCCAGTAGGCCACACTGTGTGGCCCAATGAGCCGGGCTCATCCACTGCTTCTTCCCAGGTGGGGTCACACAGCCTAGCAGCCAGAGTCACTTCAGTATAGCCCTGGGCAGTATGGCCCAACAGCCAGAGTCCCCCTAAGTTTCTTCCCTTAGTGGGATAGCATGGCCTAGCAGCCAGAGGCACTTCAGTGGGCCCCCAGGACAGTAGGGTAGGGTGGCCTGGAGGTCATCCCACAAAGGTGGCAGCCCAGGCCTACCCAACTCAACCAGGCCCCAACCCAGGGCCCTAACAGCAGGCAGCACAGCTTGCTACAGGTCAGCAGGGAATCTCACCAAAACACACTGCCCTCACTGGGACAGGAGGTACCACTCCCTCACCCCCAGGTCACTTCTTACCTGCTTTCTTGCTGCAGCAGTCCCTGTAATATCAGGGTCTCCAGGCTCCTCAGCACCATGCACTTCCTGGGGTTCCAGTAGCAGCTGGCCTCTGGTCCTGGTTTTGGGCTCTTCAGTTCTTGCAGGTAAAGGCTACAAGGGCTCCTGGGCTAGAGCCTCTGCCAAGCATCCTTCTTCCTCCACAGTCAGGGCTGACAGACTAGCTCTGCCAGCTTTTATACCTGAGCATGCCCAGCAGCACCTCAGGGGTGGGGCTTTCTCTGCAAGGAGGGAAGAGTTAACCCTCTCATTCCCAATGCGAGGCCAGTCCGCCCCGTCACAGTGCCATTAAATGTATCCCATAAAACATGGCAATTTATGATTTGCATTTCCAGAATTTTCAGCATTTCAAGTTGTAACCTGAACGTTACACTAACTTGTGTTTCGGATTTGGTTAAACAATAGTCCTTAGCCCTGAGGTAGCACATTTCAGCCTCAAAGCACTGTATAGACACTAACTTTTCAATGTAATAATCATTCTGTAATACAGAAATCACATGCCTGTTTGGCCTTAGGTTAATAGAGTTTTGCTTCATATAGGGCCTAATCCAATGCCCCCTGAAATCAGTGGAAGTCTTTTAACTGATTTCAATGCGCTTTGGATCAGGTCCACGCTGAGGGGGAGTTAGTTATCTAACTCAAGTGATACATTTTTGAGGATAATCACCATACATGAGGCCTTGTAATGGGTATTGGGTAATATTCCGGCACTTGGAGGTAGCTACTGAGCTAAGCAATAATAGCTGATCTGGCTGCTGATCTGGCTGTCCATGTGGGTAGCTTTTATGCATCTGTTTAATTTTTAGTCATTGCTAAGTGTCCAGATGCTCACAAAAATTTTCAGAAAACAAAGTGTTACAAGTGTCTCACTTCACAGATTCACAGTAACTGGTGACATCAGCACTAGTTGATGATAAGGACATGAGCTCATAAACATGATCAAATCAGTTTTTCTGGCTGCCTGCCACAGCTCCTGGTCCCTGCTCCTGCTCCATTGGCACAGCCTTTGGAGTGTTTAACATCAGCTACACCAGCCCAGTAAGGTTGCTGCACTCATGTCCACACAAGTGTGCTGAGATTCCTGTGTGGAACTTTTCTCTGAGACCCTTGGATGAACTGCATAGTTAAGAGTGGGGTTTGTGATTCCAGAACAGTTGTGTGCCATGGAGCAGAGTCTTATGTCACTGGGCCCATCGGAGTCCACGGAGTCTGAGGTATTTTTTGTACAGGGCTAGTATCCATGTCTCCCTTGGCTCTGGATCCTTTATAGTGTTCTTTTGAAAACATTAGGCTACTTGATTCTGTTCATAGACTTTTCTAGATTCATTTCCGTTTTCCATTCACCATCCACACATTCTTCGAATTCCTTCTCAAAGCTTCCTTCTTCCAAGAACCTCAAATACTAAACCATCTCTGAAAAGTCCAGCCCCCAATCTGTGTGTGTGTGCGGGGGGGGGGGGGGGGGGATGTTATCTTAAGCACCCAGGTGAAGATCACTGCAGAATCATGGCCGAGGTTAGCACCACCGTTTGGGCCTCCTGTTGTGTTCATGAGCTGTCCAGCTATTGGACTGTGTCTTCCTTTGTATGTTGTGTGGAGCTGAGTCCATTGTCAACACCTTACAAATAAATTGTAATAATAATGATTTATTTTCTATGTCCAAAACCTCTTTTCTCTACAAAAGGGCCCAAACCAAAACTCCAGATCCAAACATTGGGATGTTTGAAATCTTCAGCCATGTCCCAAGATTCCTGCTCAGAACAATGTGGATACCATCTGTGTATTTTGCAGTTCTGAGGACACTGTTACTCACTAATTACAAAGACTAGAATTCTCCAGTGTTGGAATTCAGCTGCCTGAATTAGGATCCACTCTCAATCCCCGCTCTTATTCACTATCACAATAAAATATCTGGAGACCTCTTCCTGAACTGTGGGGGCAGAGCCCTGGCAGATTCCAGCAGACTGTACCTATAATAATTATAACTATAACTATAATTCCATCTGGGGGGAGGAGGGTCTAGCCATATATGATAGTACTTAAAGCTTTCTGTGTGGATTACACAGTATAACAAGAATTGATTTTATGACAGCAACACAGTTACTGTCTGCTATTCTGTTTCCAGCTACTATTCATAAGAATGGTCAGACTAGGTCAGACCAAAGGTCCATCTAGTCCAGTATCCTGTCTTCCGACAGTGGCCAATGCCAGGTGCCCCAGAGGGAATGAACAGAACAGGTAATCATCAAGTGATCCATCTCCTATTGCCCATTCCCAGCTTCTGACAAACACAATCTAGGGATCAGATTTCAGAGTAGCAGCCGTGTTAGTCTGTATCCGCAAAAAGAACAGAAGTACTTGTGGCACCTTAGAGACTAACAAATTTATTAGAGCAAGTGGGTTGTAGCCCACGAAAGCTTATGCTCTAATAAATTTGTTAGTCTCTAAGGTGCCACAAGTACTCCTGTTCTTTTTACAATCTAGGGACACCATCCCTGCCATCCTGGCTAATAGCCATTGATGGACCTATCCTCCATGAATTTATCTAGTTCTTTTTTGAATCCTGCTATAGCTTTGGCTTCAAAACATCCTCTGGTAAGGAGTTCCACGAATTGACTGTGCATTGTGTGAAGAAATACTTCCTTTTGTTTGTTTTAAACCTGCTGCCTATTAATTTCATTTGGTGGCCCCTAGTTCTTGTGTTATGAGAAGGAGTAAATAACACTTCCTTATTTATTTTCTCCACACCAGTCATGATTTTGTAGACCTCTATCTTATCCCCCCTTAGTCGTCTCTTTTCCAAGCTGAAAACTCCAAGTCTTATTAATCTCTCCTCATACAGCACCCATTCCATACCCCTAATAATTTTTGTTGCCCTTTTCTGAACCTTTTCCAATTCCAATATATTTTTGTTGAGATGGGGCGACCACATCTGCACGCAGTATTCAAGATGTGGGCATGCCATGGATTTATATAGAGGCAAAATGATATTTTCTGTCTTATTATCTATCCCTTTCTTAATGATTCCCAACATTCTGTTAGCTTTTTGACTGCCGCTGCACATTGAATGGATGTTTTCAGAGAACTATCCACAATGACTCCAAATTCTCTTTCTTGAATGGTAATAGCTAATTTAGACCCCATCATTTTGTATGTATAGTTGGGATCATGTTTTCCAATGTGCATTACTTTGCATTTATCAACATTAAATTTCATCTGCCATTTTGTTGCCCAGTCACCCAGTTTTGAGAGATCCTTTTGTAGCTCTTCGCAGTCTGCCTGGGACTTTACTATCTTGAGTAGTTTTGGATCATCTGCAAATTTTGCCACTTTACTGTTTACCCCTTTTTCCAGATCATTTATGAATATGTTAAATAGAACTGGGCCCAGTACAGACTCCTGGGGGACACCACTATTTACCTCTCTCCATTCTGAAAACTGACCATTTATTCCTACCCTTTGTTTCCTATCTTTTAACCAGCTACCAATCCATGAGAGAACCTTCCCTCTTATCCCATGACTGCTTACTTTGCTTAAGAGCCTTTGGT